TCTTGTTTTCTGCTCAAAACAACTGTCTTTAGTTAATTTTATTTATTTTTCCGGAAAACACTCATTTTTTGGTTGAAAAACAGTGTATTTTAGTTAGTATTACTTCTTTTCACGGAAAACGCTTGTTTTGTGTTAAAAAACACTGTTTTTTTTAGCTAGTTTTACTTCTTTTAACGAAAAACACTCATTTTTTTGCTGAATTTTTTTAAGACAGTTTTTACCTTTTTTTTTCAAGGAAAACGCTTGTTTTCTGCCCAAAAAGAGTTTTTTTTTTAGATAGTTTTACTTCTTTTCAGGGAAAACATTTGTTTTCTGCTCAAAAACTCTATTTTTTTATTTAGTTTTACTTCTTTTCACAGGAAACCCTCGTTTTCTGCTAAAAACACCGTTTTAATTATTTTTGTTTTGTTTTACTTTTTTTTTCACGGAAAACGCTTGTTTTCTGCCCCCTAACAATGTTTGGGGGCAGAACCACTGTTTTTTTTAGTTAGATTTTTTTCTTTTCACTGAAAACACTCACTTTTTTCCTGGAAGACATTGTTTTTTTTAGACAGTTTTACTTTTTTCACGGAAAATGCTTGTTTTCTGCTCCAAAACAGTGTTTTTTAGTTAGTTCTACTTCTTTTCATGGAAAGCTCTTCTTTTCTGCTCAGAAACATTTTTTTTAGTTAGTTTTACTTCTTTTCACGGAAAACACTCAAATTTTTGCTGAAAAAGAATGTATTTTATTTAGTGTTACTTCTTTTCACTGAAAATGCCCTTTTTCTGCTCCAAAACATTTTTTTTAGTTAGTTTTACTTCTTTCCACATGCATTAGCCCCTTGGTTTTTATATAAATGTCAGGGGAAAACATTAAGTTACTTTTCACTGGCTATGAGGTGACATGGTCACATCACGTGATGGGTAAGTCTCCTGAGGAACGGCCCTAGAATGCTAGATCAGGACATAAAAGCCGGCTAATGCAGGCACTCTTACTCAACCCTTCACACCAATGATGACGACGATGATGATGATGAGTGGAGGAGAGAGGGTTGGTGCCTTCCCCATCTCCAGCAACATCCAGTACTCCCTCCACTTCATTGACTCCTACCACTCCATCCCACTGCTTGGTTACATCCACCCACAATCCTAGACTAGCTCCCTCCCATACTCCTTCCTCCCTCTCACACTGCTTCTTTCCTCCTGCACTGCTTCCTCCCTTCCACACTGTTCCCTCCCTTCCATACTGCTCCCTCCCTCCCACACTGCTCCCTCCCTTCCACACTCCTTCCTTCCTCCCACACACTTCCTCCCTCCCACACTTCTTCCTCCCTCCTACACTGCCTATCACCATGATAATCTAAGTACAATATAAGCAAATAATATTAGTAAAAATGTAAGGAAAATAAACCCAAAGGGACGGAAAACACTTCCCCCAACCTTGAGTGTGCAGCGTTCCCGCTTGTAATAAAAAACATCCACATGTTTAGTGCATAAATCTTTTAGGTTCATTTACTATGCTGCCCTTACAATTCGTGGATTTTTAATTTGCGGCCCTTGATTATTTGCGGATAACACCCTGGATGTACCCAAGAAGTCTGCGGGTAGTTTTAAAGTTGCCGGCATTTTCGCGGCCATATTTCACTGGATTTACTGTTATTGATAGTGTTTACAGTATTTAATCATAGCATTGTGGTTAACTCATCATTGTAACCACCAGGCTACTGGGCCAAGCTGTGAGGAGTTATGGTTTTTTCAACTCTGGTTTTAGGGTACAGGAAAAAGTCCGATAACAACGGTTCTACTAATGACGATTCATATTTAAGACCCTGGTTAATTTAGGACCCAATTCAATTTACACCATTACTTTCTTTGTATTCACAACGAAAAAAAAAAATTTAAATTAAATTAAATTTTACTATACTGTACTGTAAATAATAACAAAATCCCGATATGTATCATAAAAAATAAAAAAACACGCCATGCGCACAGAGGCTACTGGGCTTGTGAGTGGTGACGCAACTTGGCGGGCCTTTTGTTTTCACGCATCTGAACAGGAAAAGGAGAAAAACATTCTCAGGTTTCTTACAGCATTTTGCATCCCTATTCAACATGAGCAAGAGAGCAAGTAATGGTAGTGTTGGTTCAAAAGCTAAAAGAAAGTGTATAAGCTTAGCCAAGAAACTAGAAATGTTAAAACGATATGAAAAAGGTGAGAGGTGTTTGTGGATAATATATGAAGCAAGCAATGAACATATTTTCTGAAGTGGATCCATTAACAGAACAAAGCATTAAAATTAACAGGGACATGAAAAATGCATATGACCTCGACCTAAGATGTATAATAAGAAAAGAAAGCAGCTGTGCAAGGTTCTTTTTACAGCTTTATTATTCGAAGGCCTAAACCATCAACTTAAGCTACACCATCAAATTCAGCAACATAAGCAGCTTCAGCAACAGCTATGACATCTTTATGGAAAGCCACAGCTTCAGCCAGAGCTGAACCTGATGACTTCGTCATCTGATTGAAAACTCGCACAACATTCACTGGCTGTCCTTATGTTTTAGACTTTACCACCATTGGTGAGTAGAATTTTGGTTTTACATTAGTAAGTACTGTATTATTTAGAACATATATGAACAGTAATAAAGTGTTGCTTTCATATTCTTATGTACAGAAATGACGATGTTTTCACACTTATGCACTTACCTAAGTTGCCACCCCCACCCCCATCAACAAATTATATTTGCGGATTTGGCTATTCACGGCCATTTTGAAACCCAAACCCCTGCGAATTTTAAGGGCATGCTGTACTGTGACAGGACTGGGAGCCAGTAGACTTGACAATACTGCACCTGCAGGATTTAAATGGCAATCAGCATTTTAAACGAGGCGAGTTGCCACTTCTACTAGTATTTCTTGTTTTCTTAGGTCATTTTGGGGTGTTTGGGCCATAAAAAAAATATATATATGTATTACTTTACCCAACCTGGGGGGTGGGGGGTTAACCGTGTATGTATAATATGTGACATTTTACGGGTTAAATCACTGAACAGTATTGTGCACTCGCTGTAACTTTTTACATACTACACTCAAGTATACAGTACACTTAAAATGTCTTGTATATTGTAACAGTTTGTGACCACACAGTGGAGTACAACGGAGGTGGTGTTTACAGATTGGGCCACTCTTACAAACTGAGACTCCGGTACGGCCTCTCTGGCTAACAGAATGTTTATTGGGATTAGCAAACATTGTCAAACATAGGTTTTAACAGACTTTTCACTTTAGCAACCAAGATGTCTGCCAAATTTGTCTGTTATCCAGAGAGTTTACTGTACAGAGGGTCCCCGACTTACGAATGCCCGCCGATACGAACGAGGTTAAACTTGAAATTTACATTATTTTATTTACCTGATGACTTATTTTTTACTTTCATTTACTGTATTTAGTCATGTGTTCCAACTTACGTACAAATCCGATTCAACAAAGTCTTCAGGAACGGAACCAATTCGTAACCCGGGGACCCCTGTACAGTTTAAGGACTTTAAAGTGACAGATATTTTGGAGGATCTACTGTACACATGATAAAAATTTTTTTTTGTCCATGTGGGTCCAATGATTTCCTAAATGATCAATACAGCACTGTACAGTAAAAACGTGATACTAATTTAAAGTAATAGGAGATTTTACAAAATATGAGGGACACCTCCAGTGGGATAAACAAAACAAAACACTGGGCAATGATGGAAAAACAAGTGGAAAAAGCTTGCGGGGTAGACTGTAGATGTGCACACAACGACTGACCAACATGAACTGAGACACGCGTGATGCATATACCTGTAGTGCTTGTTTACACTAAGGCAGGTGGTTGCATCCCATGGCAACATTTTGCATTATATATACTGATTCACTATCCTCACTACTTGCCCTTGACACCCTCAACTCAAGTTGTCATGTGCTTGTCTCTGAAGCCAGACACAAATATGCATACCTTGTTGACCGGGGTGTCAAGATCAAACTGTTGTGGATCCCCTCTCACATAGGCCTCAAAGAACATACAGAGTTGATGCCCTCGCCAAACTCACATCTAACAAAGACACTGTTGAATACAATTTGGGTCTGTCAAAAAGAACCCTTAAAACTATAAATAGGAAATAATTTGTTGATGAATTTAACTCAAGTAAACAAGTTCAAACAAGAAATAGTCAATCCATTGTTTACCAAGCAGATGTGGACAAAACTAAGTGTAAAGTGTGTGAAGATAGAACCTTTTAGGGACAGGTCCAAGCAAACTGTGTGTGAAATAGCACACTTCATCTCTAATGGTAATACTATAGCCAACAAATTAAGATTGCATCCATTTTTTTGCACTCCGCAGCTATATCATTTCCCATGTATAGAACCAAACACACAATGTGTTTGAATACCTTGCAAATGTGAATAATAAAGTGTGTGGCCAGACATATTGCTTCACACGGCTGTACGAGTATTCGTGTAGTTGCAAATAAATCACCCTCTATGTACAGAACTAAACATAGAATTTATTTGATATACTGTATTGTACTCTAACATTCAATGCCATAATATCCTGACCATTGGGGACTGTTATACACACCCTTTGTGACCTCTACTCTGTAATCCTTTTGTGCTGCTGCTCACAGGATGAGCGTGGGGGTGCACAATAAATTCCTACTAAGCGGCAAAATTTAAATTAAAAAAATAACCAACATGAACCACGCTACTCATTGTTTGCAAGATTACTCGATTTTCTTCTGAATATGCATATAATAACAATACTTTCTATGGATAAAGCTGGAAATTTTGCTAGCAAGTGATATAACAACATTTTGCAATATCCATCGTCTGTGGTGTCAAAATGTTTCACGCGATATGTGCACAAATACTTTCTTGATCGTGTGTACATAAAAATGTATACTGTACAGTATAAGGGTTATTTAAATTGAATATAATGGCAGTAACTTTATATAATGGGTAACACAAATACTCAGACAATTACTACACACCTCTCGCTGGTGAGGACGCAAGACAGCAGAGAGCATTGGGTCAACCACAACTGCTACTTCCTGCTTCTCCCTGAGAGTAGGAAAAAAAGTTACTCAAAAACTTCTATTAACAAATAAAGTTTTGTAGTTACATCTTATATAATTAGAAAAACTTTCAAACAGATCATATTATACAACACATATCAAGCTGTGATCATAAAAGTTACTTCCTATCTAATCTATAAAAATTCACGAAACGAAATGCATCTAAATACAGGGCTGCCTCACTTATCGCAAAGGTTACGGGCATGAAACTCATTGCGAATATCGAAATTGCGAATAGCGGAGCAATTTCTCCCATAAGAAATAATGTAAATACATATAGAACATAAAATAGATAAAGAAACAAGGGCATAATATCAAATAAACATCAATAACAAACACTTTGAGTTTATTAGGTGTATATGTTTACAAGTACAGTATACTTTACATGTTTGAGTGTGTGTGTGTGTGTGTGTGTGTTTGAATGTTTATGTGTGTCGGTGTGTGAGGTAAGTTTTAAACGTACTGTTAATTTACCTCTGATGTGCTGTGTTGCTTGCTTGCTGAAGTTGGCATTAGGGGAGAGGGTGAAGGTTTACTGGGGTGAGAGGAGGCTGAGGTCATCAGCCACCTCACTCTCATGATCACTGTCAGGGTCGTCAGCCACCTCACTCTCATTATCGCTGTCAATTTGCACCGAAATCTGTTGTTCTCCACTGCCTTCTGTTGAATCATGCATTGCAATAAAGGTGTTTTAAGGTGCTGGGTCTGGTCATCAATCCATGTTCTCAACATCCGCTCCATACTCTATCTCAGCATCACGGAATCTCGTCATCTTCGTAGCCGTCAGTGGTGTTGCAGACCTGGCCATCTCCTTGATCTTGTCGGCGCTTTTAACTATAGAATGCACCGTAGAGGGAGCCAAGCCGTGCACGCGCCCAATCACTGACGTTCCTTCTCCGTGTTCATGTCTTTTTACGATATCCAATTTCATGTCCAACGTAACTGCCACACGTGATCTCTTGGTAACATTGCTGGGAGTTTTAGCAGCTGGTCGCTTAGGCATTGCGAGATCACACAAAACACAACTGCGAGATTACACAAAACTACACGCCAGCATGTGAGAGACTGAGGCGAGCGGGGGTGTATGACGGAGGAATATGTACACACGCTGTCCTACGCTACAGTTGAGGCGTGCGGTTCAAAACTTTTGCTCGCAAGAATTTGCGAATAAATGGGGCAACCATCGCGAATAGTGGAAATGGGTAACAATAAATTGATTGCGGATAAACGGGGTTACAAATACCAAGGCTATGAATAACGGGGTTTGCCTGTACATCTAATTTGGCATATATGATTCCTTCAGGCTACACTCTTAACACTTCTCATCATTATTAATTAGAATTTGAGTGCACATTCCTGAAGTCAAGACCCTCATAACAACTGTGATAAATCCTAAATATCTTGCAGTAAAAACAACCAATAAATAGTACAGTAGTATGTAGTGCGATATACGTACAGGTTGGCCGTGAGCTTCTCTTGAGCGGACAAGACAGCCGGGGAGTAAAGCACCAGGGCACCAGGTTCATCAGGGTCATGCAATGGTCGCCTCACACCATTACGACGGATCCCCAAGCATCGAGATCCTCGACTTACATAATTAGGGATGGGAATCTTAAATGGCTTGGCGAGAATTTTCCGAATCAAATCCTCCTGATAAAAGGAAATTTTTGTATTAGCAGTTACAGCAACAACATAAAATACTGTCTATACCTGTACAGTATCCCACTATGCACAGTCGTGAACAAAAGTCCTGTTGCCGATTTTGCTGCTCCATGAACCCCAAGATTAAGACTCGTGAATCTCAAGCATTTATGGACAGAATAATGCATCATAATGCATCAGTGTCTACTGCTTCAGGTTCATGAGTCTGAATCTCAGGGTTCATGGAGCAGCAGAAAAGGCGACAGGACTTTTGACCGTGACTGTACATGATAAGTGTTACAAATGAGAAAAAATTAATCTTTAGCCTGGGGAAGCTCAAGAAACAGCTACATAAACAGCAAAGAGTTAGAGGAAATGATACCTAAGATAATAGTACAAGTTCAAAAGATGACAAGAAAAGGCTAAAGTTGCATATAGTAATTCCTAAACACAGTTGCAGACATACAGTACTATACAAGGCAAATGCATAAATAGCTACCTTTATAAAACAGCAATGAATTTATCATTAGTCTGTGATCCTGCTCAGAAATTTAAAAGGAGATTCCCATGCCTTTAATATTACAACTTTTTTAACTACATTAGTAAAATAAGCTAGAGACGATAAACTTTGGGTAAAAATACATTAAGAGGAGAAGTGGTGCACTTCTATGGATGTGATCTTACATGAGAAGAAGTTTGTCCTGTCGGAGTATTAACAATTGGTACAAGAGGAGCCCGATAGGGAGAGACCAGGAGCCCTGGGCCTGCCTTTTCTGCCACCTTTTGCCTCTTAGAATCTGACTGGCTAACAGCCACTTTTGGGCCAATTGTGAAACCACAGTCATTCTTCCGTTTAAGCAACTGACTTGGGGCATGGCTCCGCCTCTGTGGAAATTGATAACAAAAGTGCTAATTTAAATGCAGAATGGGGATCTGACAACAAAATTGTGGCTAACCCATGGAAGCATAGGAAATGGATATAAAACATTGATGATGATGAATATCTGTTAAAATCAGTGTCTAAGTGTCCATCTTAACATCTTTCCGTTCACACACACACACACCAGCATATTCAGTATTACATGCCATTTTTTACTAAAATATTCATTTATCTCTTAACTAGTTACATGGGAGATATCAGGGAGTATATCATAAACAATCTTCACTAACTAATAAGTTCTAAAGCCACATTACGGTACAGTGGCTGATGTGTGTTACCACTGTCTAGTGTTATTCATGATTCAAACAGTTATGAGCATCAATTTACATCCATCACAAATAACAAATACAGGGTCATATTTTTATTTGAGAACCTTAAATTATTTTTACATTTTAGGAAGTGCAATAAACAGTAACCTAAAAATCGGTAGGAATAAAGTGTAATCACAAAAATGTATTTATGTCCTTCACAATGATATGATCAAACTCTTTAGGTTCCTGTTTATTGCATGTCCTAATATAGAGTTATCATTTTGGGTCCTAGAATATAAAAGTTACCCTGTACAGTATATAGATGAAGATCCCAATAAAACTCCTTTACAATGGAGCATCATTCTAGAAATTTACCTCACTACTCTAGACAAGTCAGAACTGTACTGTAACATAATGTACACAGCAAACAATGGCCTCTTAAACTTACCATTGTAATGTAACTTTTCCCCGACTAATTACACTAAGCAACTCGTGTGTTCCATAGCTATTGATCTTAACCAATTCCTTCCATCCTCCATGACAGCTACACTAATGGGCTCCAGCATCCACTGGAAGCGTAGTACTGTACTGTACACTCTGGAATCTGGAATAAAAAAAAATCAACCGGGGGATCTAGGGGGCGGAGCTCCACGCATAGGTTAGATAAACTTTAATTTTGTCATTCCTGTATTTATATATCCAACCTAACCTAACCTAACCCAACCTAGCCACAGAACCCAGGAACTATATCTAACTTAACCGAGGGGTCAGGGTTAAATTCCTAAGATTCCCTGGAGATCCGAAATTAAAATAATACCCGAAGTAGGTTAGTTCATTTTCGAGGGAAGTGTCATATAAGAAAAGTGTCTTAAAATTGTCTAAACCATCAGAAAAACACATTGCTCAACTCAAGAGCCGTGGTTGGTCAACACTACAAACTGACTGATTCTAGACTCACATACACACTAACACATTAGACCTATATCTTGCCATAGCTACATGGTAAATACTGCCAGTCTATCATGCAGTTCCAAAGGCCCCCATTAGGTATTTTTGCATTTACACATTCCACATTCCTACCACTAATCTATTATCATATTCTAATAAGACGTCTAATTATAAGATCATTTACATCGATTACATTGCCGTCGCAAATGTATAATAACAGAGATAGCATAACCAAAATTTTATCTATTTTCTTCCATTAATCTTCCGCCAATTATTGCCTACCTCACCTCTCAGACTGCGTGTCTCCTTCATAAATAATCACGCGCATGCGTTCCCAAACACGTCACGCGACCAATCAAAAGCGTTTTTTGGAGGGCAACCAATTAAAACGATTTGTGGTTTAATTCGTGGTATTTTTGGCCCAATCAAAATCGATTTTTATTTTGGGTCTCATATTTTGAAATTCAAATTCATTTCCGACCATGGAAGTCTGTGATGGGTGTCACTTAAATTATATGGAGCTGATTGCGAGTTTTGGGAAAAAACGAAGAAACTATAGCATTTTTTCGATCGCATGGTGTTCTTCCAACCTCAGTAAAGTGTCATAAGTGCAAGACTGAATGTAAATATCGCAAAGAAAAACACACTGTATGCGGCATTGTGTAAGAATCTGAGAATCCAACGACGAACAAGAACCAGCCCAATAAGGTAAGAAATAGGTGATGCCATCATATGGTGCGAGTCAGTTAGGTTAGGTCAGGTTTGGTTTTTGTTTTTCTAGTGTGTTTTGGTGTATTTTTTATTCGCTTAGCCATTATTTTTTTTTTAAAAACGTCCCACGGAAAAAAAAAAAACGATAAAAAACAGCCAATTTCCGACGGAAATGAAGGTCATATTCGGTCTAAACACACACAAATACAATAGAAAAATATATTTTTGACTTTCTAACAGAGTGGGAGGTGAAAGTGCATATTTACCCCCCATTATTGTCAAGAAAAAATTTTACCACACATTATTATAAGAGGAGAAAAAGTCGTATACTTACACCCATGACAGCTGACCTTGACCTCTCTATCTCAACATTCCGGTAAATACCTCCTGCGGGAGCCACGAATTACCCAAAAGTACCCAAAAGTATAGCAAATAAGGGTAAAATCTTAACGAATATCTGTTATACATACACAAAACATGTTTAATAATATTTTTAGTGTAATTTTGTAAAAATAATTTGTAAGATGAAATAATAAACAGCGAAAAACTTTCAGTATTGGCGAACGTTGAATTCCAAAGAGTTGGTGAACAAGGGAGATAACTCAGATTCATCGTGATGCACTTCGCTAACCTAACCTAACCTAACGAAAAGTAAATCCTACGGCTGTGTTAAATACCCCAAAGTAACAGAAACATCGGTAATTATATCTCCATTTTGGATAGGTGACTCTTTGGAATTTAGCATTTTTCGCTGTTTATTATTTCATTATTTTGACATTTCAATGAAAACATTATTAATCAGGTTTTATTGATGTAAAACATATATTCGTTAAGATTTTACCCTGATTTAATATACTTTTGGATACTTTTGGGTAATTCGTTGGACAGCGTCCTGCTGTTCACTGAATAACCAAACCTAATTTATATCACCGACATTAATTAAAAATGCTAATAATAATATGGTGCAGCATGAATATAAACAATGTAGGTATACAGAGTACGTAGGCCGTGGGAGGGTAGTTACCTGTGTGCAGACAGTAACAGGTAAACAATGTTAAACAGCAAGGCAACTTGACCAAGAACCGCCGACAAAGCTGTCAGTATATCTTACATGACATGACGATTAATTCTCACCTTAGTCGTGGGATTGTTGGTAATGAAATGGCACCGTCAGATTAGTCTACTCTCTCTTTTACATCTTCAAACATGTCGAAAAACTTCACCTTTTTGGACAATTTACATAAAAAGACTCAGAGGTAAATCATACAATGGTGGCGGTCTATAAGTAGTACAACATGTCTTTCTTATGAGATTAATATCCGTAAACACTATTTATTTTGCAATATAAACTATTGTATAAGAGAGTTTATAAATGTCCAATGCTCTTTTGTTTTACGTTCTCTCACTTATTTCAGGAATTTATTTGTTTTCATCAGAGACAAACACTATTATAAGAAAGACAGGAAAGCCAGGCGGAAACCGCGTGAGCCACATAGCATATAGTTGGCCGCGGGATCAACCAGTGTGCAAGGCGCGGGTCGTCTGTACGTTGTAATGGCACAGTGGTTCCCAACCTTTTTTCTAGCGACCCCAATCATGCACCTCGAGCCATGACCGCGACCCCCCCACTGGTTAAGGTTAATATATATATATATATATATATATATATATATATATATATATATATATATATATATATATATATATATATATATATATATATATATATATATATATATATATATATATATATATATATATATATATGCAAGTAAATCACTGGAGGTGCGCGTGATCTAGGTATATGCTGATAACCACAAGGAAAGAAGAAAACACGCAGTTCCCAAGCGCTTTCGTGTAATTCACATCTTCAGGGGTGAGTACAGACTAGAGAGAGTAATACAAATCAAGGTGTATATATACAGAGGAGGGTGTATATATATATATATATATATATATATATATATATATATATATATATATATATATATATATATATATATATATATATATATCTTGATAAAATCACACGGGAAAATGGAAACAACGGAGTACCTTAGCTTTCGTCTTTATTCAAGACATCTTCCTGGGTATAGGGTATAAATATAAATACCTATTATTTTACGAATTGGCAGTGTTAAAAAAAGGTACTGAAAGGATCCTAAAAAAGCAAAAATAACATGGTTCAATTTTATTCTAGTAAACAAGATAATAATTTGTCATTAATGTAATACGCATTGAATCAAACTTTAAAGAAGACTGTGGAGTTTTTGAGATTGTTTAGTGTTCACTCAGGATGGGATGGAGAAAGGAAACTCACAATGTGCTCTCTATATACTGTACATGTTGTATTGGATGTACAATGCAGCTTGGTGCTGGGAAGGTAGCATGGTTACAAGCGTGATGTAGAGAGAGCTGGTTGGTGAGGGTGCTCAGAGGACAGCTTGTGGGTCGCCATGCTCGCCAGCGGGAGAGAGGACCGCCAGGCAGGCGGAGGAGGAGCGAGGGGGAGGTGTTGCTGGCTGCCGCTGTAAGTAGAAAGAGGCAGGTCACTCCGAGGTCACCATTTGTGGGGTTCAGGATGTTTGGTTCACACTCAGGATGAGATGGAGAAAGGAAACTCACAATGTGCTCTCTATATACATGTTGTATTGGATGTACAATGCAGCTTGGTGCTGGGAAGGCAGCATGGTTACAAGCGTGATGTAGAGAGAGCTGGTTGGTGAGGATGCTCAGAGGAGGACAGCTTGTGGGTCGCCATGCTCGCCGGCGGGAGCGAGGGCCGCCAGGCAGCGGCGGAGGAGGTGTGTTGCTGGCTGGTTGGTGTAGGTAGAAAGAGAGCGATCACGACGAGGTCAGGTCTTAAATAGCGGGGTTGGCGTGGCTTAGTAGTTGACCCCCGCTCCGTGATGTATGGCGGCGCTGGTTGACCTAGACCACGAGGCATACACTGGGGAATTGGTGGGGTCGGCTACTCAGCGACAAACAGCGTTTGTAGGGGAGAAATCCACTACAAGGCTTAATCTTAACGAAACATGTACTTCAATGTCGAGATGAAATACTATTGTTTTGTCACATCCCACAAAAACTAACTAAAAATGAAAATGTCTCTAATCAACCTGGAAATCAGAGTTGGGTAATCTCATCTAATGGGAGTCTTGAGCCTGGATCTGGCTGGTAAGTTTCTCCAGTCGTGGCTCAGTCGTGGTGTAGTGGATTCCTCCCCTACAAACGCCGTTTGTCGCTGAGTAGCCGACCCTCTTCGAATTCCCCAGCCTGGGCCTCGTGGTCTAGGTCGGCAACCAGCACCGCCTTTCATAGCGGAGGTCAACTATCAAGCCACACCTACCCCCGCTATATAAGACCTCACGTGGCCGTGACCTACCTCTGACTGCTGGACCTGGAGCTGTGAAGACTTGCCTCTTCTGCTGTATGTTTGAGCAGTCTGCAACTTTGTTGTGATAGGACACTCAATCCTAGTGATTGTACTTACCCAACATAGCGACGGTGCAATTACCATCTCAGATTGTACGAAACATTCCAACTTCTGAAAAACATATATTTGGGCTCCCCAAATTTTGACTACTACCCGTGCGTCTACGTCGTGGATTGGCCAATCAGTGGTGCCCCACGGTGGCGTGATACATGCACGTTTACTGCGGTGCTCTGATTGGCTAACCGAACATGGCGTGGTAGGTAGACTGTCTCTACTCTCTAAGTCCTCTTCTTTCCTTTTTTCATCCCCCTCATGCACTCCGTTCCTTGAACGGGAGGCGGGACTTAGCGATACGGTCGATCCGGCAAGGGAACCTGTGATAGTGCAGGGCACCCCTTGTCCGGGGGTCACCGGTAGGTGGCAACTTTTTAGACATAACTATAGTCACAGGTAACCTGGGCGCAGAACCCTTCGAGCCCGACGCCCGTCCAAGAGGGGGGGGGGTGGCGGGGTCACTGCTCCCAGGCAGGAGCCCTGTGTTATAGGTAGGATTGGGCTGTAATCAAGGAAGATGACTACAAGCATTAGAATAAAACATAGAGATATGGGACACTCTATTGGAAGAGGAAAAGTGGCAGAAATCACTTACAACAAATTGCAAGTCCCACAAACAAGAATATTTAGCACCAACGAAGGTTTCAAAGTAATCTGTAAAGATGACTTTGACTCAGACAAAATCCTTTCAAAGGAAGCCAGAGATGTATTTTACAATGAAGGACTTGTTGTTGTCATGCCACCAAATCACAAAGAAAAAAGATCAGTTTTCGTTCGTCAAGTCGACCAAGAGATCGGGAGGAAGACATCTGAAGATCTGAAAGATGAACTGGAACGCCAAAACAGTTGGATGAAGATCGAGGAAGCCATCAAGATAAAAGACTACACTCATGATTTCAAGATTACCTTCGAAGAAGTTTCAATGGCTGAAAAAGTTTTACAACAGGGCTTTTCAATATTTAACATGTCAGTAACACCTCATCAAATAAAGAAGAAAACATTCATCAGTCTGCAAACTTGCTTTTCCTGTTACAAATATGAAGAACACACAACGAGAGACTGTCCAGAAAAAGAGAAAAAGTACTGCTCAGATTGTGCATGCGACGACCATACCTACACTGAATGTAAGAACACACATGTTGGCTGTCTCAACTGTAAGAGAAACGGGAATGCATACATAGGACACAGGACGTTAGCAATGGCATGCCCAATAAAAAAACACATGATAAAGTACAAGGAACAAGAAACAAAGAAAAAGGAACAAGACAAGAAGGATATGTAGTGATGGGTTGTCAGACCACAGCTTACATCTCAGAAACAGTCCAGACCTGACCCGACATTAGGGGGGTCAAGTGTAAGGGTAACCCTTGTGGCCACTCAAGGAGTTACAAATCAACTAGCTCCCCTTCTCATGCCACACGGCCCCAACAAACATGTAAGAAGCACCTGCCGACACTCTCCCAATATACACAACTACAGTACATCTCAGACAAGGCCCAGACCTAACCTCACATTAGCCAAGTAAAATGTAACCCTCGAGCCCAAGTCAAGGGGCCACAAATCAACCAGAGCCTCTCATGTCACACGGCCCCACCAACGATGTTAACAGGCAAGCATTCATCTGAAGATTTCTCCAGAATATACAACAACTTATAGTCTCAGAAAAAGTCCAAACCTGACCCTACATTAGCGAGGGCAAACGTAAGGAGACCCTTCGGCGCCCCCCTCGATCAGCTCAACCTGACGGCTGGCCTTCCAATATATAGGACGTCCTAGTCCTCCCTCAAGAGAGTGTGTCTTGTAACCAAGAAGGGCCAGCTACTACGTCCCCAGTCCCGCTCGTAGCCCTCCCTCAGGGGAGCGGCGAGAAAGAGTGAGAGAGAGAGACACACAGGGATCGGAGGAGGAGGTCCACCACAGCCCAGTTCCGCTCACGGGAGGAGAGTCATGCAAGACTTCCCTCCCCGACTTCCCTCCGGTGCCCAGCTAAGCAGTCTCCCATAGAGACAACCCAGGACCACCTGATAGGCCTTCCCCAGGTCACGTGAGTTTTTGTCAGAGCTTTCCATGGGATGAGTTACTTACATGGGAAGTGTATTCATTTCATGTTCGTGTCCGAGAATCAGTGTCTAGTAACGTAATATGATGTTCTAGTAACGTAAACATAATGTCCTAGTAACTTCAATAGAAGGTGTTATTAATGTGTCCATGTCATTGTCGTAATCAATAAACAGTTGTAACGAAGCGGTGTTTGAGAAGTCGTCCTTAAGAACGTAATAGATGTGTATTGACGTATAAGATACGATAAATGTAAGTCCAGTTCAAATAACTAACACGGCCACGCTACCAAAGTCTTCGTCTCTTTACATTTCTCTTACTATCAATATTCTACCTATATGTAATCTTCTTGTGAGATTTGTCTCATTATAGATACGACATACGTCGAAATAGCCAAGAGAGCGGTCCAAGAGGCTCACAGACCAGAATCCACCATATTAAACTAAAGTGAACCAATACATGACAAGGTAATGATTAGTATGATCCATGCACATCTGCACAATATCATTGCACCCGGATCATACAATGAGGAGTTAAGGAAAATGTTTAAAGTGAATAACCTACCAGAGATGATATTCCCAGAGAATCTAGAATCCGAAAAACTATTTCAGGCAACATACTCAAGCGAACTGAGAGAAAGACTACAGCTAGACAAACAAAGGTTTGAGCAAGGAGCAACAGCCGATACACAAGGAACACAAGCGACTGATAGAGATCCCAGACAAA